CTTCCATACCTTGGCTATGGTGAATAGTGATGCAATGAGCACGATTGTATAGGCAGCCTTACTGTATCTTAGGTAAATGACTAAGAGTGTAACTGGTGGATTATAAGCTAGTTCTATGTTTAGTGTTTTGGAGAAAGTTCCATACTGCTTTCCAAAGTAGTTGAACAAGTTTACATCATTTCTTCTGATAACTCAAAATACAAAAATGACCTATTGCCAAAAATAGGTATTTATTTTTGTTTGTGAGTCAAGAACCATTATCTGTTCTGTAAAATAAATCATCCATTTAGAATTGGGATCAGAGATTCTTCCAAAAAACATCACAGTTAAAGAAAATGCCAATAAACTTGATCTTGTATATTTTTCATTTTCAACCTTTGATCATATCTAATACTCTTTTCTTAACTTAGGTTCTTTCTAATGCAAAAACCTTCCTCTTGGGCTGGGAAGGTGGCTCAGTGGTAGAGTGCTTGCCTCGCATGCATGAGGCTGTAGGTTTAATTCCTCAGTACCATATAATAAACAGAAAAGGCTGGAAGTGGTACTGTGGCTCAAGTGGTAGGGCACTAGCCTTGAGATGAAGAGCTGAGGGACAGTGCTCATGCCCAGAGTTCAGCCCCCACGACTGACAAAAACAAAACAAAAAACCTTTCATCTTTCAACTTCTTTTTTTCCCCTCTCCTTTTCTTTTTTTTTTTTGTACCATGGTTTCAACTCAGGGCCTTACATTCTCTGGGCTTGTTTGCTTGGCTTGGCTGGCTCTCTACCTCTAGAGCTACACCACTAGCCTGGCTTTTTGGTTACTTTTGTTGGAGATAGAATCTCTTGTCCTTTTTTTGTTGTTGTTAGAGATGAAATCTCTTAAGAAATCTCTTTTCTGCCATGACTTGCTTCCAATTCTGATCTTCCAGACCTCAGCTTCCTAATATTACAAGTATGAAGTATTACAAGCATGAGCCACTCCTCCTGGCAGTTCTGTGTGTGTGTATGTGTGTGTGTCTATATTGCTTTATCCTATTTATCCTTCTACCTTCTAGTTGTAGAAGGTATCTTTGTCCTTAGAACACTGTCATTTCTCTTGTATGTTTTTCCCTTGAAGAAGATATATTCATTGGTATGCTTTCAAATCATATTTTTATTTTGTCTCTGTATTTTAGGTACCTGTAATCTAGTGAAAAGGGCATGAATATGCACCATGACTTTTCATGGTCCTCTATCTGTATAAACTATTCTCTGTGCCTAGTAAGGAATCCCAGATAAAATGAGGAGAAGAAGCTGAGTGCCAGTGGCTCACGCCTGTAATCCTAGCTACTCAGGAGGCTGAGATCTGAGGCTCTCGGTTCAAAGCCAGCAGGACAGGAAACTCCATGAGACTCTTATCTCCAATTAACCACCAGAAAACCAGAAGTGGCGCTGTGGCTAAAGCGGTAAGGCATTTGCATTGAGCTGAAGAGCTAAAGGACAGCATCTAGGGCCAGAATTCAAGCCCCATGACCGATCAAGAAAAAAAAAAAGAGAACAAAATTTAAAAGTTTGCTTATTTACTTTTTGTTTGAAAGGATGGTTTGCCCAAAGACTGAACCAATTTAAAAAAAAAAAAGGTGTGGGGGGGGAGATAAGAACATCTATTCATTACTGGAGCAAAGCCTCAAAGAATTGAATCTGGTCAGAATGAAGAAGGATATCTATTCTACAAAAATTGAAGAAAAATAAGTAAGAGTGAGAGGGGTAGAAGGGGTGGCATATATATGCATGGTATTATATGTAAACAAGAGTTGGTTATTTTTATTTTAAAACAAGGGGTATGATGAGCATATAGGGAAAAATCATGGGCTTAAAGAATTTTGAAGAAGGGTTAGAGAATGTAGCTCAGTGCAAAAGCACTTGCCTAGAATGCTTAGGGTCTTGGATATGATCCCCAGCACTGCAAAGAGAAAACAGAAGAGGAGGAGGGGAAAGAATTCAAGCAAGGTGCTCGTAGCTCATGCCTGTAATCTTAGCTACTCAGAAGGTCGGCATATATGAGGATCACAGTTCATAGCCAGCCTAGGCAGGAAAGTCCATAGGACTCTTATCTTTAATTAACTACCAGAAAACTAGTAGTAGAGCTGTGGCTCAAAGTGGCAGAGCACTAGCCTTGAGCACAAAAAATTAGGGACAGACCCCAGGCACTGAGTTCAAGCCCCATGACCACCACCACCAAGTGCAAAAACAAAAATTAATTCAGTAGAAGGCACTTTAAAGAATAAGGAGGAAAAAACTCAATGAGGACCCATAGGCAGTTTTAAGCAATGAATTTATAAAAGTTCCAATTTGCCCTGCTGTTATCTAAGCAGTCAATGGGGGTAAATAATGGAATGGAGGTAAAGGGACTGAAAACATAGGAGATAAAATGGGTAAATGAGGAAAAGTAATTGTTTATGGAACAGGCATTAGTGACTGAAAATGAAGGAACTAAGGAACATGAACTACGTGAGATGAAAAAACAGATGTTAAAGGAGTAGAGGAGCAAAAATGAAAAGATGGGATAGAGGCTGGCTATGGTTGTATACACCTCCAATCTCAATTATTCCAGGGGCAGAGATAGGGAAGACAGAGTCTGGGGCTAGCCCCAGGAAAAAATGCACTGTACCCTATTTGAAAAACATATGAAGCCAAAAATGGCTGGGGCATAGCTTAAGTGGTAGAATACTTGCCTACCATGAGCTATCCCTGAATTCAACCCCCAGTACTAAAAACAAAAAAAAAAAAAAATACTGAGAGACATGGCTTAGAGACTATTTTAAAGAAGAGCAACCTTAGGCAATGAGTATGGTCATCAGAACATTAGACTAAAACAAGGGCAACTAAGTCATCCAAGGTAAAACAAAACATTGATAGAGTAAATTCAGATTGGGAGTCAGGAGTCTAAATTTTCAATCAACAGACAAGAGATCAGTTAATACAAATAGGTATTAAAGTAGAATGCATTATTTTATACTAGATCTTAGAAGAAGATTCATTTTGCAAAAATAGTGACTCAGATGAACAATGCTATCACTGGGCTTTAGCCTCTTGCCTTTGTTTTGTGCCAGTATGGGGCTTAAAATCATGGCTAAAGCACTGTTCTTTAGCTTTTATGCTCAAGACTGGCACTCTACCAATTTAGCCACAGCTCTACTTCCAGCTATAATTGGAGATAAAGAATCTCACAGACTACCCTATCTGGGCTGGCTTTGAAGCACAATCATCAGATCTCAGCCTCCTAAGTAGCCAGGATTACAAACCCAAACCAATAGCACTCTGCTGAGCCTCTTGCTTTTGTTTTTTTGAGGGGGAGGTGGGGGGTGGGTAGTAGGTCATGGGGCTTGAACCAGATCTGGGCCTGAGCGCTATCTCTGAGTTCTTCAGTTCAAGGCTAGCACTCTACCACTTGAGCTACAGTGCCACTTCTGGTTTTCTGGTAGTTAACTGGAGATAAGAGTCTCATGAACGTTCCTACCTGGGCTGGCTTTGAACCTTGATCCTCAGATCTTAGTCTCCTGAGTACCTAGGATTACAGGTGTGAGCCACTGGCACCCAGCTGCCTCTTGCTTTTTGAAAGCAACCTTTCATTGCTTTTTGCCTCTCTCCATCTCCCACTATAACATAAATTAGCCTTAGTAAGATGCTTCTGGTAGTTGTAAAAAACCTAGGAAAAAAATCATTCTCTGAAAAAGAAGCTAACAAAGCCATGAAACTATTCATGCTTAGACTAAAGCACACTAGAATATTTGGTTTATTATAATAAATATAAATATATATTATATATGCAATAATAGAAAACTAAAATCTCCTCTAATTTAATAACAGTATATTAGTAGTATGAATGTAATTTTCACACTAAACAAAGAAAGAAAAATCTAGAAAGTAATTTTAGGCCTTTGATATTAAATAAAGTTATAGAGTAGAATTTGTTCATTCAGTGCTATGGTCTGTCCACTCCAAAAGTCATGGTACAGATTAATCCCCATTGTTAGGTATGAAGTGGGAAGAGACTTTATCTAATTACAGTGTTAGAATCAGGGCCATTAGAAGGTGATTAGGATTAGTTTAAGATTCATCAGCATGGAGCCCCAGGACTAAATACTAAGGGGGAGAGAGACTAGAAGACATGTGGATGGCGCCTCACTTGCTTCAAAGTGATATTTTGTATTGCCTCAGAACTCTGCAAGCAAGAAGACCTTTAACACATAGAGTTGTTTTACCTTGGACCTTCAGAAACAAGCCAGTTTTCTTGAAAACCTACCTAGTATGTGGTATTATTGCATTATTAACAATGGGAAACAGATGAAGAAATCTATTACTGTTCAAGGAATAGATCAATACATCTAAAAGGCATTCTAGTTATTAGGGATGGAAATTCAGCAGCGTGATACTCATTGTATGTAAGGTTTTTCCACAATCTGAATAAAATGTGCCTCTGAACCTAACTGGCTTTGCTTTGATTCTATTTTCATGAAATAGATTATCTGAGTATCAACTAGATATCAAAGGAATGGTGATACTTAAAGGCAGTGTTCTACAGCAGAGTTTTTGAGGTTATTTTTTCATTATAAAATTACTGCTTACTAATGTATATTTGTACATTTCAACACAGAAACAAAATAAACAGAAGTTCTAATATTTTTCTCTCAGACCATAGGGCATTTTGTAAGTGCCACTCTGGAATGTTCTAGGCAGGAGTGTTCTAGGCAGTGAATAAGCATAACATCAGCCTAAGTCAAAATCTGGAGCTCTGAAATTTGATTCTTATAAATGACAAAACCAGCATTCTTACTCTTGAGGTCCTACAAGAAAATCTGACAATATGAAGTTTAATAAGCACTGAGTTGCTAGGAGAATTCTTATTCCAGCTAAACAAAATATTCCTTTAGAACAACAAGGAAAGCAAAGCCTCAACATGAATAAGCTTAAACAACGACATTACAGAATTTATTCTGTCCTAGCTGTAGACACTGTCTCTTAATATGACTACTTACCTGAATAAAATGTGTTGATTTTGGCAAGTTCCTTTTCACAGGTTTGGAAAAATTTTTCTTCAAACTTGGCAAAATACCTCTTTACTGTGTCTTCATCTGTAACTGAAAAACAATGTTTAAATTAAATACAGAAGGCTAATTGGGATAACTTAGGGAAGTCAAGACTACTGTTATTACCATCTTAGTAGTCAAGATGACAAAGGCATATATTTCTTTTTTTTCTTTGTGTTTCTAAAATTTTTATTGTTACTACAAAGATGATATACAGAGAGGTGCATTTTTGAAGAAAATGAATTATGAACCATATTAAGAGATTAACCAGTATCTCTTCATAGGAGCACAAACTTTTGATCAATTAATTAAAGATAATATTTTGACCTGGCAGATGGAAAAGGTGGTAAACTACCGGATCTGCAAGTATTTTATTTTATTGGTTAAAAATTAGAAAAAAAACACATCAGAAAGAATAGTGTACAGAAACAAATTGAATAAATGTGGAAATTCAGATTAAGATAAAAAGAGCTTCTACTCATTGATAAAAAATGGGTTACACAAGAAGTCTTTCTTAAGAACTACACAAAAAGCAGAGAAGATAAAAGATGATACCTTCACAAAATAAAATGTTTCTATTCTATAAGATACTTTATAAACAGCTTTTTTTTGAAAAAGCAGCAGACATGAAAAATACATTATCTGCGGTTTTCTAAAACAACACAGGAGACTCAAATGCAAAACATATTTCAATTTTTTTACAAATCACTAAATAATATCCAATTTCATAAGAAAAATGGAAGGAGAGCTGGGAAGGTGGCTCAGTGGTAGAGCGCTTGCCTTGCATGCATGAGGCCCTGGGTTCGATTCCTCAGCACCACATAAGCAAAAAGAAAAAAGCCGGAAGTGGTGCTGTGGCTCAAGTGGTAGAGCGCTAGTCTTGAGCTGAAGAGCTGAGGGACAGCGCCCAGGCCCAGAGTTCAGGCCCCACGACCGGACCCAAAAAAAAAAAAAGAAAAATGGAAGGATCAAAACAATTCACAGAAAATGAAATAATGGCTGACAAAGAAATAAAAGGATATTCAACATCCAGACATCATATAAATGCAACTTAAAAAACCACAGACTAATATTTAAATTCAACTATTTAATAAAATGAACTGTTTTTAAAAATCAAAAATAAAATACAATATTCAACCACTATAACTGAAAAGATTTTAAGCTGCTAACATTTTGGCGATGATGAAGGTAAATGAATTCTCCCTTATGACAGATATATGAGCTTGTAAAAACTTTTAGGAAGATAATTTGGTGGTAGCTTTTTAAAAATTCAGTATTTTCAATGCTACATGTAAGCTGGGTGCCAGTGGCTCACACCTGTAACCCTAGCTATTCAGGAGGATGAGATCTGAGGATTGCAGGTCAAAGCCAGTCTGGGCAGAAAGTATGTGAAATGCTTATCTCCAGTTAACCACCAGTAAACCAAAAGTGGTGCTGTGGCTAAAAGTAGTAGAGCCCTAGTTTTGAGATGAAGAGCTCAGAGACAATGCCCAGGCCCAGAGTTCAAGCCCCACCACCGACCCCCCCCACCAAAAAAAAAAAATCAGTGCTACATGTAGGAAATACATGTTAGTGGTAGAATGTCAGCCTTGAGCAAACAGGCCCTGAGTTTAAACCCCAGTACCGGGACAGACAGACAGACAGACAGACAGACAGACACACATACACACACAAATCTCTACACAAATGCATATTTGCAGGAGTGTTTACATACCATTGCTTTTAATGGTGATAAAGAAAACTGATGGTCAATAAAGGGGAGTGGTTAAATGAATTGTGATACTATTATATAATACTGTAGTCTAATCCAGTACATGAGAGATGTATGTACAGGAGTCACATGGGCTGGCATCCACTTCTGAGACTAACTAGTCTCAGATTAATCTCCTCAAATTTTTCCCAATGATCCAAAACATGAAAGCAGAGGAGACCTGTGGGAGAAGCCCCTTGTCCTGCTTCTTCTGGCTTTACTCCTTCCCCAACCACAACAAAAAATAAAGAAGCTTGATTAAGAAAACTAAACACTACAATTATGACACTGTAGCAGTCATTATTAAAAATTCTTTACAAATAACATAGTATGTATAAAATTATAGAGGAAAAGAATTAAAATGCACAGCCTGATTCCATTTATGAAAAATATATGTAAAAGTTAAAAATATTCTCTATGCATTCACAAAAAAGAAGATTGAAAAGAGGCTACCAAAATGTTAACTGTGGATGTCTCCTTTAGGCATAAAGTTACAATGTCTATATTCATCTGATCATATAAATAGTGTCTATCTAAATGAACTCCTGGAAATGGAAACAAAAGGTTTCTACTTCATTGTTCTTTTTGTTTGCTTTCTGTCTTATTTGTACATTTATCTGTCTTTGGGAGGATGGAGAGACAAAGGGTGAACAAATGGAACAGTGATACTCACTAGACACTATGTTGAAAATGAACTATACAACTATAGAACTATACAAGTGGGGATGGGAAGGAAAAACTGGGAGAAAGCAAGGGAAGAGGTGACAGGGGTGACATTGTCCAAAAGGAAATGCACTCATTACCTAGCTTATGTAACTGTATTCTCTCTGCACATCACCTTTATAATAACAATATGTAATTTTTAAGGGGAAAAATAAAAGAGCAGTAGATATGAAAGGGAATCTCATTTTTGTTATCTATAATTATTGCATTGTTTGAATTACTATGAAATGATATTGATGTATACATTTTTACAAATGTATATATTTTACAAATGTATAATATTTTACAAATATTAACAAGAAGAAAAAAAGGAAACATGTCACATTTAAAACTTTATATATAGTAAAAGGCTAATCAATATAGTTAGTTGGAAAGAATTTATCAGAATGTAGAGGTATAGAATGATTAAGCCATGTATATTTCATTATACAATTTGGCAGAATGCCTATTCACAGAACATCAACTTTTCTTGTAAGATACTTCCTATACTACCTGCTGAATAATGTAAGAAAACAGTTATTCTGCATTTGAGAACCAAAGAATCTCAGCATTCAAAAGCCAACTAGCTCACCTTATTGTGTAGATAAAAAGATTGAGAGGTTCAGAGAGCCTATAGACAACATGAGTTTCCCCTCCATCAACAATATTATTAAAAAGATAAATGAAAACTACAGAGTAGGAGAAAATTCATGTATTTAAAACTTTGTTTCTGAAAAGGGACTAGTAGCTAGACAACAATAAAAAAAAAAAAAAAGAGAGACAACTTTAAATACTGGGCAAAGGCACGGATTGGGAGGAGATCTTCACTAGCCATACAACAGACAAAGGTCTCATATCTAAAATATACCTGGAACTCAAAAAATTAAATCCCCCAACAACAAATCCTCAAAGAAACAACTGCCCAATAAGTAAGTGGACTAAAGACTTACAGAGAAACTTCTCTGAAGAGGAAAGGATGGCCATTAGACACATGAAGAAATGCTCAACCTCTCAAGCCATAAAAGAAATGCAAATCAAAACAACATTGAGATTCCACCTCACCCCAGTTAGAATGGCTATAATCAAGAACTCTAATAACAACAGATTCTGGAGGGGATGTGGACAGAAGGGAACCCTACTGCATTGTTGGTGGGAGTGTAATCTTGTTCAACCACTTTGGAAAGTAGTATGGAGGTTCCTCAAGAGACTCCACATAGAGCTCCCCTATGACCCAGCAATCCCACTTTTGGGCATTTACCCGAATGATCACAAAAAAGACCATACTAAAGCTACCAGCACAACTATGTTTATTGCAGCATTATTTACCATAACTAAGATATGGAAGCAACCTAGATGCCCCTCACTAGATGAATGGATCAAGAAAATGTGGTATATATACACAATGGAATTCTATGCCTTCATCAGAAAGAATAACATTGCCCCATTTGTTAGGAAATGGAAAGACTTGGAAAAAATTATATTAAGTGAAGTAAGCCAGGCCCAAAGAAACATAGGTCCCATGGTTTCCCTTATTTGCAATAACTAGTATATGTCTGAGACAAGCAGAAACGGTCAGATAAGCTGATGTTAGGTGAAGTGAACCCCAAGATAAGGACTCAAATGGTTTTTCTTTCTTTTTTTTTTTTCATTTTAAACAAGAAGCTTATTTAAACAACAAGATGCTTGACTTGAAGGGAAAACTATCAAGGATTCTTTTTTTTTTTTTAAGAGTGATTTACCCCTACTTAAAGACAGATTGCCCTACATGTAACAGCTATGTACAAAAAAGTTATAAAATTGTCCTTGGTTTTACAATGATAAATGAAAACATTAAAATTCTCCAATCAAACAAGGTATGCAATGATTTTTGGGTTTCTCTCTCTCTTTTTTTTTTTTTTAAAACAGTGAGCAAAATAACTTACTGAAATATAAAGATAAAAGCTGAATGCGCATGCCACGAATGGAGAAGGGGGATATTTTCACAGGACCAGTATTTTTCCCCATCCCATCTCCATTTGATGTCAATCAAAATATATCATTGGCCATTTAGTTTAAAAGAAAAAAAAGAAGAAGAAAAAAGAAAAGCAATATGCAGTTATTTTATGTACAATAAAGGAATGGGGAAGGGGAAAATGAAAGAATAGAGAAAACTATACTGTAGTAGTGAGGATGTGGTGGAACCAAATTGCAGTTTTCTAATTAAGAAGGTATTCTTGGTCTATAAGAACAAAGTTCTGGAGCAAAGTAGCAGGTAGACACCTCCTGTCTGCTGCTGGAACACATCAATTGTATCTTCATCCTCCATTTCCAACTGTGCAGGTGTGTCTGTTTCATTGATTGGCTGCTCATCAAATCGGAATCTGATCTGCCTCATTGACAAACCCTGTCGTTCACAATAGGCTTCCATTAGTTTACTAAGTGGTGTGTATGCCTCTTCATCTTAAACTGCACCACAGAACCATCCTGCCCCGCCACCTTCAAATTAATATGATCGTTGTTCTCAGTCTTGACTCCTTCCTTGGGCTTTTCGTGGGCCATCGCGAGCACCGGAGTCTCTCCTCAGATGCCGCTTCACAAAAGAGGTCCCGGGTCCGCACCG